CCATTCAAACATGCCTAATTGTTCTCCCATCTGCTTTGTTCTTTCATTCCCCTCTCCCTTCTTGTATATTGCCCCCCTCCCCAGCACCCAAACTTAACTGTGTCTAATCCCTGCCCTGTGCTCCACCTTCCCCTCCCTCCCCTCACCCGCCCCCAACTTCCCAGAAATCAACAAAGAATTTCCCCCACCCCCCTTTAGTATGGGTTCTTTTTCTTAGTCTTTTACAGTAGAGGTCTTATGCAGTATTTCTGTTCTTGTGACTAATTTCACTCAACATAATGTGCTCAAGGTTCATTCATATTATGCAGTGGCTTGCCGCTTCCTTGTTATTCTTCAAGGTAGCATAATATTCCATTGTGTGCATGTACCACAGTTTGCTTTTCCATTCTTCAGTTGATGGGCACTTTGGCTGTCTCCATCTTTTTGCTATTGTAAATAGTGCTGCTATGAACATTGGTGTGCATATATATATCTTGTGTTGTGGCTCGTTTTTTCTTGTGGCTCGTTTTTTCTTGTGGGTAAGTACCAATCAGAGGAATTGCTGGATCATAAGGTATTTCTATTTGCAACCTTCTGAGGAAGCACCATATTGCTTTCCAGAGAGGCTGGACCATTTTAGTCCTACCAGCAATGCAGGAGTGTCCCAGTCTCTCCACATCCCCGCCGGCATTTATTGTACTCTACATTTTTTCACGTTTGCTTTTATTGTTGGTTTGAGATGATACCTCATTGTTGTTTTGATTTACATCTCTCTAAAGATTAGTGATCGTGAACATTTCTTCATACGTTTGTTGGCAGACGGGATCTCTTCCTTAGTGAAGTGTTTGTTCATGTCCTGTGCCCACTTTTTAATTGGGTTATTTGTCTTTTTCTTGTAGAGGTGTTGTAGTTTCCTGTATATTTTAGAAATGAGTCCCTTGTCTTATGTGTCATTGCAAAAGATTTTTCCCATTTTGTGGGTTTCCTTTTTACTCTTCTGGTGAAGTCTTTTGATGCACATGATTTTTTAATTTTTAGTATGTCCCACTCATCTATTTTGTCTACTTTTGTTTGTGTGGTTTTCAAAATTTTTTGTAGTCCATGTATTCCCAGAATTAGTGCCCTCACATTTGTCCTGAGTTTTTCAACGATGGCCCTCATAATTTTGGGATTCATATTTAGGTCCTTAATCCATGTTGAGTTGGTTTTTGTATAAGG